ATTTTATTTCCTCTTTGATCTGCTGTGAACTTTTTTCCGAGAAAAATTTCTCATATGTTTAACTTCTCTTGCAGTTGACAGTTTTGAACAAGGGGATGCATAACCAACAAGGGAACTCAACAAACAAGTTCCATAATTTTCACTTCAGAGTCAAAGAAAATTGTGTTGAATATTTTTATCCCGGGAACCGGAGTTAAGCAAACGAACTACTAGATTTTCTGGCCAAAATTTTATCGTTCGATCTCCATGCTTGGGATGATGATGCATTGGCAAAAATCTCCAGTTGCATAACACTGTTGGGTAGATGCCGAATATTGATTGCTACTCAGAAACTTGTGTTGTAAGGAAACTCTGACTTTTTTCCTGTTTAAATTTGTTCCCAAGATAAGAGAAGTACTCCAGAATTTTTAGAACATGCGTTCTGCCCTTCCATTCACATTTATTTTTTAGCCTGTGTATTGAAAAAAATCTTTGTATAATTTAGTTATAAATGATTAAATTTATAGGTAATGCAACTAGAAGGCCATGTAAATTTTTTTGAAAAACAAAATTTAACTTCCTGGAATTTTATATTGAATTGGAAGGAGAGAAAATTTCTTGCTCTTTTTAGTTGAATCAAATGTCAATCTTGAAATGAATTTAACAGTATCTCCAAATTTTGAATATATTATCAATGAATAATGACGCCATATTGTTAATGAATGTATGACACCATATTCAAACTCTAGCTAATTTTCACGTCTTTGGTTAATTTTGATATGGTAAAGTAACAAAATGCTCAAATTTAATTTAATGTAAATTAAATTAATTTATAATTATAATTTTTTTAATTTTAATTTACTGTAAAAATAAAGAAAATTTGATGGAGGATGAAATTGAAAATGATTTTAAAAAAAAAAGTGAAAATTTGGATTCTATTAGTATTTTTAAAAGAAAAATTGGATAATGAGGGTCAAAATACAAGTTAGAAAATTTGTGCTATGTAGGATGTCCGGTTAGTAGCTCCGACGAATCAGAACGCGTTGCGTGACAACGGACGCTGACGCGGTGCCACGCGGGAGCCCACGTGAGTAATACGCGTGCCCGCAATCAAACGACCCAGATCCATTCATACGCGCACGGATGACCTGGATGCATTCCCTCCCCAAACGCGATCAGACGGCTAGATTTACACGCGATCAACGGTTCAGATTTATTTTTTATTTAAAAGGCGATCGGACAGTTCAGATTAAATCGCGATTGACGGTCCAGATTCACTCCCTATTTAATCGCAATCGGACGGTTCATATCAAACGCGATGGACGACCCAGATTAAATGGGAATGGATATAAATAATGCTTTTCACACCAAATCCTAACCTTCGCCGCCATATAACCTCGCCGGAGAAGAAGACACAGCCGCCGGGAAGGAGAGCCGCCACCATCCGCCGACGCGCCGGAGCTACTTCCAACCACCAAAAGAGGTAAAAATTTCTCCATTTACTCGAAATTTAATTTTAAATACCCCCATGGCAAAATCGGAGCAAAAAGACTGGCTAATTGGCCGAAAACTGCAGTAAATCCCAGCGGCGCCGCCGTAGGAATTTCAAATCTCATTCGATGAGCCCTTCCCGATTCCGTCTG